ATCTGTAACTTGGGAGATTCTCTAACGAAATTTGGTTTCGGAAAGAAAGAATACATAATTTATTTAGACTTAATACAGATGGCGCTAGCGCAAAAAAACCTTTTAAACCAAAAAACAAAGATCGGCAACAAGCACATAAAGAAATTAGTGAGATCTGTTCATTCGTAGTGTTCAGTTGATGTCGGTCATCGTGTATATAACCAGAAATATATGTATACTTGATGATTTCGGTGCAGGGGGTCGATGCAGAACCTTACGATAACTCAATTGTGGACCGGTTCGATTTGATATCGTATGATTTCTTTGCATTTTTATTCACAACACCCGAATCGAACGGCAAACTGTGGTATTCTAAACCGAATTCAAATTAATGTGAAGTCAAATTCAAGTCCGTACGATTACTCGAATTTCTCGACCGGAAATTACAAACGTTATTCAGAACACAAATATCGAATGAAAGTTATCGAACGTCCTATAGTTTACGAAGCAAATATGAAATATGCGAATCTCTTATTATCTATATATAATAAAGTCTGGATTTTGTTCAATTTTATTAATGTATTTTAATGCAAGACTACTATATTCCTACATTTTAGTCTTTTAAAGTCTTGAAAATGTCTATAAAAGGATTTTCATTTTTCTTATAATCTATTATACCGTCCTATTTCCATTCTCCCTGTTCTTTCCAAAGCCTTAGAATCCATCGTCCATGAACAACTTTATTCTTACCTCTCCTCCCATAACCTTTTGTGTCCGTTTCAGTCTGGCTTTCGTCCATCTCATAGCACTGTTGGAGCATTACTGAACATTACGGAAGACATACGTCGTGCTATGGATGATACGAAGCTCGCTGTCACTGCCCTCTTGGATTTCAGCAACGGATTTAACTCTGTTGACTTTGACATTCTCCTTGGTGTCCTTCAGGCGGTTAATATACCCTCCTCTGTTTTAAGTTGGTTCTCTTCTTATTTTTTTGGTTGCCAGCAGTGAGTGAAAATCAATGATGGCTCGTCATCTTGGTCTAGCTTAATTGCTGGTGTGCCCCAAGGCAGCGTACTCTCTCCCTTACTCTTTTACATTTTCATTAATAACATTTCCCGTGTCATTTCTTCTCCCTTCCATCTATATGCTGACGATCTTCAACTCTATCGTAACTTTAAGGTGGGCGAGGTATCTGAAGCAATTGCGGCCATCAATTTTAATTTGTCTGCCATACAGTTATGGGCTAAATCATTTGGCCTTTTAGTTAATCCCGCTAAGTCTCAAGCCATGATTGTAGGCAGTAGCAGATTAAGGTGCAAGTTGGATTGGTCATCGGTACCTGCGTTGGTTTATGATGGAACTCCCATTGCATATACTGACAAAGCAAAAAATCTAGGTCTAGTAATGGACTGCATATTGTCTTGGACTTCTCATATCAACGAGGTTAGCAGACGAATGCACTTCTCATTTCACTCTCTCAAACGACTCCAATACTTTCTCCCTTTTTATACCAAAATTATACTTGCGCAAACTCTTCTACTCCCCTTACTCGACTATGCCGACATTTGTTATTTAGATATAACCGAAGAGCTTATGAATAAACTAGAGCGCCTACAAAACTTGGCTATCCGATTTATTTTCGGTCTCCGTAAGTTTGACCGTGTTTCCGAATTTTGCGCTCGGTTAAAATGACTCCCAATTCGCCTTCGCCGTGATGTGCATATCCTGTCCGCCCTTTTTAATATACTTCATGACGCCAACTGCCCTTCCTACCTTCGTTCCCGGTTCCAGTTGCTGCCCCCCTCCCACCCGTTCAAGGCGTCCGTGCATAACTAAGATGCTCGTTCGTCCTAACTGTAAAACAAATTTCTTTTTTAACTCCTTTTCTTCTCGCGCAACGCATTTGTGGAACCGACTTCCTACCCATATCCAGTCTAGCCCGTCTATCCCTTCTTTCAAGAAAAGGTTGAAAGCGCACTTTCTTGCTGAACTATCTTAGTAATCGTCTTATTGTATTTTTTGTACTAACTTATTATGTATATGTGTACCTATATGTATATATTACATTATTTACATATTGATGCTATTTATTAGTATTCATTATAATGCTTATGCACGTAACTGTATTTTTTTTATTTATTTATTTTATTTATGTACTTTATTTACATTTATTATATTTCTACCGCACTCTCTCTTGCACGCTATTTGCCCGCTTATAACCTTAGCTCTCACTGCCCTGGGTTGGCTGGAAGACTCTCCTTTAGAGATAAGTCCACCTTTGCTCACTTTTTGTTAATCTAATATTTCAGATGTATTTTATTTGGTGCAATAATGAATATATATATTTATATTATATATTTCACCAACTAACTCCGTAAACGTTGTTGGATAACGATATCGTATCCGAATCCGAATCGAACGTTTTAACTCAAATGTTCTGAATGGCTCGGAAAGCGCCCTTCGATTCAAGAATGATATCCAATCGAACGATTCGGTTAAAATGTCGAAAAGTTCTGAATCGGAGCTCTGGTTCGATCCAACCGCATCGATGGAATTTTTCTTTTTGTCTCTTCAATCTTTGTATCAATAATAACACTAAATTAGTTAATTTTCACAAAAAGCATATAAACATTATGGTATTTAATAGAATAAACAAAATACGTAATGACCAAACTCGAATCATCATTTAGACAGTTTTCTAAATAGATATGACCCGGAAAAGAATCCTGCTTGTGCTCAATTGCCTAATTTCTTATCTAACGTGAACGTTTGGTGAAGTCAAGCAATTTACCTCTACATATTCAGCCATTATTCATTTCTAAGTGGAATGTCGATTCTCTACCAAAGCGCAGCACTTTTTTTTTATTTTTTCACGTTTTACGCGCGCAAAATTTGCAATTGAATATTTTTCCCACACTTAACTTGGTGACCTCAATTATCTCAGGAAACATTTCGAAAATTAAATTTTTTTATGCTACTTTCAAATTTCACGCGACAAAGTATTTTCTTTCGAAAATAGTGCAATTGAAGTGGATTTTCCGTAATGTCTGCATCCGGATTTTTAGGACAGAATCATGAAGGAACTAGGAATGGGTAATATAGCTTTTTCTGAATATCGTATCGAAACTATATTGTATCAATATTCGAAATCGGGTTTCGAAACTATATATTTTCTGAATCTACATATTCATGGATACAGCCCGCGTGCGCGCTGCGTTGATACATTGCCGTTACTGATATCAGATTTCGAAACTATATATTATTGGATATAGTTTTACAAGAGCAATGCGGGCCAATGTTAGTATACAGTTTCGAAGACGCACAAAAAATAGTTTCGCGTTGATATCCACTCAGTGAATCCGAAAAACTTACTGTCAAATAAGTAATATTCGACAAAATTAAAAGACAAGTATCCAGTATGAAGCTTCATTCGCATCACGCGTCTTTTCATTTGGTCAAGTATTGCTTATTTGGCAGTAATTGTTTCGGACGGAGATCGAGAGTAGACTCCTTGATGCGAAGCAATATCGGTATGTAGTTTGGAACATATATGTATGATTTCGTGTTGGCATCCACTCGGTAATCGCTCGGTTTGATTCGGCATCGTTATAAAATACGCTATGCAGAGCAATATCGATATATAGTTTCTAAGATATACGATATCGGATATTCGACATTGCCACAATATATAGTTTCAATAATATGTAACGCTCATTCCTAGACGGAACACAGTACGTCACATCTGCAACAAATGTTGTATGTACCTCTCTGAGGTGTCACCCGCGATCGTTACGTTCACTATCTACCTTCATGCCTACTTCGTCAAAATTGCGGTTTATTCTGGTCCGAGCTCAAACACCGACACTAAACAGTGCCGAAAGAAGTGACCTCAATGTTGTAATTTACAGTTGAACGTTTTGCAGCATGCTCTATTATTGAAATCGTCACAAAATATATTTAATGGAAATTTTTAAACGATCAATCAACCAAAATAACTTAAAAAAATTATACTGAAAATAATTCTGCTAAAATTGAAACAAAGTTTACATTTTAGAATTATTACATAAACTCATAATACACAAATTAGTTCACAAATTCGATAAATAAAATTGACTACGCTTTAAAAACCGATACACGCAAAATGGCGTAATTAAAAAACGTAAGTAATTATTTTACGCGCTATAGCTTGCAACAGCAGCGACCGCGACCGTGCGATGTTAACCGGGATCTTGAATCAATTCGAATATAGTTGCTAGAGCTGCGCAAATTTTGTTGAGAAACTCGAGTTCAAAAATATTATTTTGATTAAGCCAGAACCCAAAGGCAAGAGTGTTGAATATATATTACAACGCATATTAATATTTACATGTTGTATCGTATGTAAAATAATTATCGTAAAAGTAATCATAAAACATATTTTTAGTTTGGTAACAATGCATAAAATGTCCCTTTGCTGAACACCTGTCTACTGTAAGACGGTATCCTTTGTTTAAAACTCAAAACTCAACATAATTAGAAATGATATCATGCGTTTATCTAATTTTAAACTTTTGAAGTGCTATTAGAATATAAACAAATAAAATTTGTCATAAATAAATCCTTGTCAGTATAAAACATCCGCTAATCAATGAAACAAGACACGATTTCATGAATTTAATACTACGTTATCACTTCAACTAGCTTCAAATTTAACATTGATAAGTCGATAACAGACACTTAAAGTTAAAAATAACTGTAACTATAGTTTAACACAACACATTCATCATGATACAATTCATTTAATTAAAAAAGAAACTGCAAAAAAATATATTCCGAAAAAAACGATAATCGAGGTGAAGATGATGTCGCAGTACTATTGTGACGTTGCGATGCACCGACGAGAGCCGGCCGCGGCCCCCGCGAACCGATTCAAACCGGCTCACGACCAATCAGCGGCCGTGCTAGCGTCCTCGCCCAATCAAGATTCATTCCGTCCGTTCGCTCGCATTCGTTTACTTGTCATGTCCTCCATTGTTTTCACAACTATTTTCGCCGATAAATAATATTTGTAGCAACCGGTGAAATCCCGTTTCACTTCAAATCGCTAGCAACGCCTTCTCTTCAGTATTTGTGTAAAGGATTAACTGAAAGTACACGCAATTTGTGTTATATTGTTACGTTAAAGTGGTAAAGTGTGAATTGTCGTTCGCCATCAACAATAATGTTGGATAAGTAAATTGAAAAAGTGACTTTGGTGGTATAAATCGTGAAGATCGTGTGGTTTTCGGTTTTGCTATCCGAACAAATGGTTGCAGAACAGTGCCCGGTGCCAGCTATGTTCGTATCGAGGGTGACAGAATATCATCTTGGATCTGGCGCCTTTATCTTCTTCAACCTGACGAGACAGGATTATAGCTGACGAGTATTATGCTCTTGCTAGAGCAGAGACTAAGTGCACGGCACTTGGGGCGCGGGGTGGTGCTGAAAGCGAGACTCGTTCATGGCGTTGAGGCCAGAGGCTGGCGTATGAAGTTCTCCTTGCTGAAAGCCGAGGTGGAAATTGAAGCCGACCCTGGGACGTATAGAGAATTAGCAAGAAGGCTGAATGCAGCTAATGTCCATGTCAGGCCTGCGCGTCGTTTGACGAAGTAAATATCCGGTTTTCACTATTTTTCACTTTTTTTCAATCTTTAGGTTGCTGCTTCACCGCGTTGAAAGTAGCAAAAACAGTCTCGGTAGCTTGGGAGAGAATCATTATGTTATAAGTTCTAGGTAGAAAAAAAAAATAGTCGGAATGCTTTCGAAAACTTGACCTAGTTTTCTAGGCCTGGTAATAACAGCAACATTATTTGTTTATTGACCAAGAACTTCCTTTTTTACTACATGTTTTTTTTTTAAAGTAGTACGCCTGATGTTGAAGCTACATGCCTATCCAAAACAGTTGCAGTGCCACTCAGAGCTTTAAATCGCAAAGATCTGGGGGGCACTGCCACTGCGTCCGTCACCCTGTGACAAGTTGACAAGTCCCATGTGCCTGAAATTTCACCAGCATCCTTACCCTTTAAAACCGGAACACAGTAATGCTGACATTACTGCTTGGCAGCAGAAATAGGTAAGGTGGCAGTACTTCCCTGAACAAACTTCACGAGGAGCTCTACTGCACAAGAAGCCCTACTGCTACTTCACAAGGACCTCTACTGCTCCTTCACAAGGACCTCTACTGCTACTATGTCTTAAAGAAAGACCAGATACAAGATGTCCTTGCTCAATGTGAACTTAACTTTTGAACAGTCTTCAAACTCGTCCTCCAGGCTGTAATTCAGAGTTAAGAGGATCAAAAGTCTACTCAGAAGTTTTCATGGGAGTATAATAATGCACACACTCAACATTGCCTTGCACTAGGGAAACCCTGTTCGCTGGTGCCATGGACACACAGACAACCACAAATTATACACAAACTCACGAGATAAATAAATGTCGGCCATAATACACAGACAACAACTTCTCTAGCCCAACAGCTTGCGCTGTGAACACTGGATAAGTAATGAGGTCTTTGATTTGGTACCCTGTAGAACCAATTATGGAAATGAAATTTTCTAAATTAATTCAACTCTGTTCGTTATTCTGGTATTCATAGTACAGGAATTCTCTAGGCTGGGACCACATAATTCGCCTGGCAGTGTAACACATTACTATTATTGCAGATAGAACAATCTGCAGTAATTGACATTACAAGACTGACATTGACATCACAAATGTTACAGGTCTTAATAAACACTATATTGCACCCCTCATTGCTCCATTAGATATGGAAAAACATAACCCAAATCATCTCCGATTGGAGATGTAGGTTATATTTTTCTGTAATTTAATCTCAAATTGAAGAGGATGTGGGTTATATTTTTCTGTATCTAATGGAGCAATAAACATGTTTGACATAATTCCGCTTATGCGATCCATCATGAGAGGTGCAATATTATAAAAAAAGCCAAGCAGGATTTATTACAATGTGTTTTGCTAGAAGCGATGTATTTAGGCCACAGAAAAATGTTGTTTACAAAACATAAACAACAACAAAGAATTGTTAACAATTGTGTTGTGAATTGCACAACACATTCTAAGAATTCTCTCATATATTTTGAAAACATCAAAGATATTTTAGGCAAAAAGTTATTGTTTACCACAAACTTCATTAAACCAATCCAATAGGATCGCAATTGCCCCATGTACTTTTTGTGGACCAATTATGTTATTTTTAGTTATAGCCTTTATTGCTGATTAATTAACAATAATATGCCATGTTTTTTTAATATACTTTTTCGATACGATGTTTTTTGAATGAATAAACTTGCATTATTATTATTAGGCTGGCACTGTGACCATCAGCTGATCTAGTGTGATCACCACTAATTGCAGTCCGAAGCCAAGACCCACAGCATTAAGGAACTGAAGGACTCTGACCTGAATAAACTTGTATACTAACTTATCTAATATAGAAACATTATATGACATGTTTAATATTACTCAAATTCTAAGTTAACTTGGTAACTTCAGCTTGTCCTAAGACATAGGCCTTTTCCAGAGATATTTATCCCTATCTCATACTATTACGGACCAGTGGATCAGTGACAGTCATCTTCACAATGTCGTAAATTACTTGTAAGGGGCAATATATATGCTTCTATAATAAGATTCCGGTTGATATTCAAAATATGCCATTCACGAGGTTTAAAATTAAAGTGAAACAAATACTTTGGATGACATAGTGACCCGTTTAGTTCCTGCAGGTATTCTCAATCCAAGATGAAATAAATGTTGTAAATGATAAATGTATTCAATTACAACTACAACTATTGAGGAAATAACTAGGCTAACTATCCTGCTATATAGAAAGAATAGCCATTCATACTAATAAACTAGCTAGCGCATTGTGTGTACCACCACGGACGAGAAGATTGAAACATTTGGGATTCAACTAACTGAGCTGAATAGTTTCCTACATAAAGGCAACCCACTGTTGGAAGGTTATGCCTGGCATGCCAAAATACATTTAAAAAATGAACTGCTTATGGTCTCGCATAAGACCTATTATTATGTATGTATGTAGTATGTGTTGCCAAAAAGAGAAGAAAAAAAAATGTATTCAAATGTATATTTACAATGAGCAACCCCTAGAATTTCTTGCTCATATTTTTTATTTTATTTTATTTTTATTTGCTCATAATTTGCCTTACAAATGAACAGTAGAGTTTAATCATTATGACTATTTCAAGTGTAAGGAAGTGTGTAAGCAAATTGCTTAACTATGAAATAAAGATGATTGACAACTCAAACATCAGGTGGAGTGAACCAGGAAAGCTCACGTAACATTTGATTATTTATATACTAAGATATCGACGACGCCAAGAGAGAATGTGCTGAAGGTAATATTTCCGTCCTGTGATGTATTATTATTAGGGTGATTTAATTCGGGGGCTTATGCAGCCCCTTATCACTGTAATCATCAACTGATCTATAGTGATCACCACCAATGAACTGCCTCTATGGCCAAAGGGTTACCATGTATGGCCTACATTTAATTCTGTCGTGAGTATGGGTTGTCTATGTGTGTGTCCATGGCACCCGCGACATAGGGTTTCCCTAGTACGGGGCTATGTTAAGTGTGTTCGTTATTAATTACAGTTCGGAGCCGAAGCCCATAGGATCAAAGAACTGACAGACTTCCTAGCTCTGACAGTTTTTATGTCCTCTGGTCGTAGTCTGTGACTTTCACAGTAGCACCGGAGTTTGATATTGTGTAAGAAAAATAAAAACAATACTTGAATACGCACACAACCACACCAATAGTCTGGTCTCAAACTAGGGAAATCGGCAACAGAACCCACTCTAAGGCACGCCACAGTCAAAACAGAATCAATTTGGAAAAATTCATTTTCTAAATCCTGGCAGGAATCCAACCAGGAACCTCTTCATCCATGACCCACAGTGCAAACCGTTGCGCGATCAAGGCCGTTAATAATATAACAATAACATTTATACACGCATACAGTAAAGGCAACAATGTATTAAAGTATGAAATTTATACTTGTATAATATATGAAGTTTTAAAACTGGCACTTGACACAAGATAGAGGTCTTGTCTCTTATGAAGCAAAATGGTTAAAATTTTTGTATTACATTTATAAAATTTTACATTTATTTCATGTATTAAATTTTTGGATTGACCGAACAAGTCGTGCACTTGGTATCAAAAAAAGTTGTTTACGGTGTTTTGACATCATTTATCTATAACTTATTAAATTGAAATTTTAATTGTTGTTTAATTGTTACTTATTTTATAAAAAAAACTTACCTCAAAAGTTGATGGAATTACACCTATTTGCTAAGTTTTGTGGAAATCGGTTACCGGATAGTGCGCCAAATTCGGAATCATCCCCTAGTTTGCCACACTTAAATGCGAAATATTTTTTTTGAAATTTAAATGGGACAATACTAAGGTACCCTTTTTTCAACGAAAAAAGATTTCTCAAAATCCGTTCAGAAATGCCGGGAATTATCGAGGAACATAAAAAAAAAATACTGCCGAATAGAGAATCTCCTCCTTATTTTCAAGTCGGTTAAAACATCTGCTCTGTCAGATATTTGAAATTCCAATTACTTAACAAATTGTCAGGTAGCAATCGAAATACATATACAAAATACCTAATTGCATTTCAATTCGTAATAATTCAAATGGCGCCTAGCTCTGTCTTGCTAGGCACAGACACCCAAAAAATACTGTCATAATCCAATTCTCACAGGCGTGATATCATGGTTAAGATCATATTATGTCCACACACTCAACAAGTGTTTAATTCAGTCTCTAGATCTGAAAATAGATCTTTTTTAATGCATGCCAAGGTTAACTGTGTTGTATTTGCTATTTTTTACAGTTGTTTGTAAAATACTTTACAACCTCGGAGGATTATATTACTAACAGCTTTTATTCCATGACTTTTGGTAATTCATCAGAAAAACATTTCAGTTGATCTCTCTAAACGCTGGTAACACTGTGTCGTAACAAAAGAAAGCGCTAGAGTAAATACCGGTCGATGCAAAACGCAGGAACGGGAATGGGAGTCGTCGAGAGCACGCTTGCACTTTTAAGCACCCACAGTCGAATCACTACGTACATTTTGATTTGTATGTCCAGGAAGATGACGTCGTTAATCTATATATGGCGCTGGTATCTCTTTTTTTTTGCCATACAATTTTTAAATAATTCTGAACCCGAAATATATTTCAAAATGTGTATTGAAGTTATTCAAAACATTTTGTATAAAAACAGGAACCCTGAAAGCATGAATTTTGTTTTTTGTTTAATAACTTCAAATGACGGGACGAACAAGTCGTGCGTTTGATTGTATGCTATACGTCTGTCCATAACAGTTGAAGTGCCATTCTCCATTAGCGCCCAAATACAAATTAGCGTTAAAAAAAGTAAAATTTTTTTGTAAACCTTTAGAAACTAGCCTCCTTAAGAGAAAATTATGAAGCAAAACAAGCTTTTAGTTTATTTTATATGAAAAAAAAATGCCGTCCTAAAATGGGAACAATGGGCTCAAGCGGTGTCAAAAAATTTGTAACAATATTTGTCGGTGCACAAAGACTTGATGCACTTTCTATATTGCCAACGCGCTTATTTGTGGCTCAACAGCTATTTGCACATCGTAATTGTTAAGCCAACTTCTGAGCGTAGTGATCAACACCAATGTACTGTAGATTTAGCACCAAAGGAGTGACATAACCGTTAAACTGCTGCAGCTGATCTAGCTTCGTATCATTGGTCAGGAGGTGTATACGCCGTGTATTAGCTAGTGCTAGGTCCAGCTTGTAGCGGAACAAAACACCACCAGTTTTTGCCTCGAATGGCAGTGTGATACAAAAAGATTGGTCAGCTTGATTTATCCTGCTGGTACGTTTGAAATCACGCGGGATACCCATGTCAACTTTCTATATATTCACAGCGCTTTATATTTTTATTTTCACCAGGGAAAGGTCATCATCATAATCAGAGCTCATCGTGCAAATACCTTAGCTATGCAGACGACATGGTTTTGTTGGCTCCTTCGATAAGTGCCTTAAGAAAATTGCTTAAGATATGTGAGGGTTATGCCGGGGCCCATGGGCTCAGACATAACGCAAAAAAAAGTGAGCTCCTGATGTTCCAGTCTCGGGGTCACAAGATCACGTCAGTACCACCCGTATATTTGAACGGTGTTGCGTTAAATAGAGTTACGCGATTTAAATATCTTGGCCACTGGGTGTCGGAGGATCTCACGGATAATGAGGACATAGAGAGAGAGCGACGGGCGTTGGCTGTTAGAAGCAATATGTTGGCACGCAGATTCGCACGTTGCACAGTACCTGTGAAGGTGACACTTTTCAAGGCATTCTGTCAATGTTTCTATACGTGTAATCTGTGGGGTCAACTTTACGCAGAAGACAATCAACGCCCTGCGCGTTCAGTACAACAATGCGTTCAGGGTTTTATATAATTTTTGAAATACTATTGTCAAGCCATAGAACGAACAGAATTTGGTTGATTGGGTAAAATCGATAGTCAAAATTGGTACGGTTTTACTCTTCATGTGTATTACAAATCTGGTACCAGTAGATATTTCTTAGTTTTTCCTTTGCAGACAATTTCAGTTGTTCGATAACGAGTTTGCCGTCGATTATTAGATCTCGTTACATAAGTATAGTACTTTACATCGGTGAGCGCACTCGGTTCCAGGGGAAATGCCCCCAAATCTATCTCCACATCATGGTCTTTCTCATCCATTACAGCTTTAATAACTTTCTGAAGCCCATAGTAATAATTGTGGCAATTTCGACATACGATACTTTACGTAGGAGGGATCGATAACACAACAGTGAATGAAGCAAAATTCTAGTTTTAATGTTTTATATTCGCAGTTTACTTAAAAACTGCTACACAATGGCTAGTCACTGACAAACCATTATTAACTTAGCAGAATACACATTAACAATTAATTAATTGTCAATTGCGCTTCTCGTAACTAACAATTGATCAATCGTTAATCGCGTATTCTACAATTAACAATTAATCAATTTTCAATCTTTTCTATGTTTTTTATTAACAATTAAAACTGACAATTATGATAAATTCATAGGGCGTTCTAACACACCCCCTAACCCACACCGTACCCACCCCCTAATCCACCTGCTGACCCACCCCCTAAACCACCTCTAACCCACTCTTACCCCCCAAATCCAAACCCTAACTCACCCTTAACCCCCACAAACCAAACCCTAACCCCCAACCCAAACCCTAACCCCCCAACTCAAATCGTAACCCACGCCCTTACTCAAACTTTCGATTTTAATTGTTAGTTTCAATTGTTTCTTAGAACAACTAAAAAAATTAATTGCAATTAAAATCAATTCAATTGAATCAATTGCAATTAAATCACTTGCGAAGTGTCGCAATTGATTTAATTTCAATTGATTTTTTTAAATCTGATTGAATTTCTGATTGAAATTTAATTGATTTACGCCTAACACTGAATACCAAACGGACAAAATCCTGCCATTGGCAATGTCGACACACAACTGATATGATTTAAAATTAGTGAATTGGGGCCCTGGGATGTTTAAAAAGTCTCTGCCTGGTTGGGGTTAATGTAACTCGTACTTTTCTAGCACCTATTTTTAGCTGAGCGTCTTCAATTTGGTGAACAATACAATACAAGCCATGTTTTCGTTTGTTGCAGTGTGGCCCCAAAGACAAGTCCAGTCACAGTGAACAAGCCTGTCCTACCACAACCTGGTGAGTACGTTTTCGATTCATTTATGACGCACAACCCGGTGTACAAATCTGATGGAAAGCGGCATTTTTCGTATTAGAAAAAACGTAAACAAAAAGATATCGTAAACCTCTTTTTACAGGCGACAAATTACAGTAAAGAAAAAACATCGCCAGAATTAATTATTTATTTAGAATTAACGAGAATGAATATTTATACATGACACGATGATATATATATATATTATATATATATCATCATATGTATATATTTTTAATCTGTTAAATGTGTGAAGCCTTATTTCGTTAAGTTTTTTTTATCGCAAAAGTCTTTGAAATAGATTTCAAAATTTTAAATTTAATTTCTAATGTGAATATTACGTGCAAGTAAACAAGTAAAAGTGTTTAATGCTATAAAAACGAAATTATAGTATTAGTTTTTTTATTTTATTTTAATTTTCTTTACAGCTATTCTTGCCTCTTCGAATCAGATGAAACCATTGTATTGCCAGGAGTAAGTATCTGTTTAATTTATTAAACTCTATTTTTCTTTACCTTAGAATGAAAACGTCGCATACACGTTTTCACATAGTTCGTGTTTACTGATTTTTGTTAGAGAAAAATTTATAAACTTCTTGCTCAAGCAACAAAACTAGTGGAATATTTTCACAAAGCAATATATGAATATCATGGTAGTAAAAATATCACGGTATTCCAAATCAATATTGCAAAAGCGACAACTCTGACAGCCGCTGGGTAGCTGTAAAGGTATCTGGATGAGTGGAAATCTTCATAGATTTCTCACAGGTGGCTTTGGCAAAAAAAGTCATCAAAACCATAAACTAAGTTAGTCTGCAACGAGCATATAGATTCATACGGTTGCTGACTCGTTCCGTAGCTCTGTTGGGCGAGCGATATCCCCGGTACAGCGACGTCGCTAGTTCGAGATAACTGCATCGAAGGAACTTCCCTTTGTGTTTGTTCGGTCTTTGTGTCAATCATACATTTTAAAGTTGCCTAGATTTCATTCCGTCTTCCCCTTTCCATCATCGGGGACTAGACGTAGGCGTTCCACCGGATATTCGAAGGATTGGCACGAAGCGCTTCGCTTCCACATTTATATGACGAACGGCTATGGAGTGGAATTCAGGGAATTCCTTGCAAACTTGTCCCCTGATCGGTATAACTTGGGCGAAGACCCAAAAAATTTGCCTTGAAAAACCTTGAAAAGTCAAAGCTAGAGTGAATAGGCATTATTTAGGTGTGCATGCTCCATCGTCGACTTCATCGTCACTTTCTATCAGGTGAGATGGAGGTCAAATGTGCACTTGTAATAATAAAAAAATTAATTGGTTGATAAAAACACGATTCTCACAAATGTACATGCACCTCAGTCGCTGACCCACTATACATTGCCCTGACTCATTCTTTTGGGTTTTTTTTATAGTCGAAAAATATGTGTTGCACTTTTATTCGGACGCCTGACTATATGTTTCGAAATTCCTTTTTGCAATACAATAAAGTGGATAACAACTCCCCACAGAGACTAAAGGATCCTTCACAGGACCCAACCACTCCCACGAGTAGTACACAATTAATTATCTGTTTGCCCAACCAATTAACGTCCGACGCGGATGTTGCCCAACGAACAATTGATCTGACGCATTCCACAGCAATTTTACTTGTAGAATGCGCCTGGGTCATCGCTGTTTATCATTCATAGACAGCTTTTGATAAATGCTCATAACGCTTATCGCTACAACAGCTTGTTGGTATTCAGGTTTTTGTATTTGACACATGCGACACACCTGTCCATGACAGTTGCAGTGCTTTTAAATCGCATAGATATGAGAGGCACTGCCATTGCACCCGTCACCCTGAGACAAAGTTGACAAGTAGCATGGGCCTGTATGATGCAATGCTTTTTAGTAGCCGTAGGGCTCCTTGTAAACGAGTTCGTCCAGGGAAGTACTGCCACCTTACCTATTTCTGCCACCAAGCATTAATGCTCACATTAATGTTTTGGAGGTTAAGGTGTGAAATTACAGGCACATGGGACTTATCAAATTATGTCTCAAGGTGACGGGCGCAGTGGCACGGCCCCTCAGATCTTTGCGATTTGAAGCTCTGAGTGGCACTGCAACTGTTATGGACAGACGTATAGTTTACCATCAGGCGCACAACTTTTTAGTCCCGTCACTTGTTATAATAAAAAATCATAATCTCAGTGCAGAGTACTAAAAAAACCGACCTCAAAAGTACGGGGAATCACATATAATTGCCAAGTTTTATTGATATCGGTTACCGGAACGTGCGCAAACCTGGTTTCATTCCCTAGTTCGCCACTATACGGGACTCGACATAGGAGATAATAAAAATCGGTTCTCTCTACTCAAAGTATATTGAGAGAGAATGACAGATATAAACGCCTTGAATTGGAGAATAGCAAAATTAACCATTAAAGTAATTGCTGCTTATAATAAAATTTAGGCGCTATTTATAAAAATGAATTTTCATGCGTGAACAGCCATTAAGTGTGGATGATTTTCTTCAAAATTAAATGAGACCAATATACCTCTTTCCAACAAAAAAAAATAATCATGAAAATCGGTTCACAAATACCGGAGTTATGGCGTAACATACATAAAAAAAAACATACAGTCGAATTGAGAACCTCCTCCTTTTTTTGAAGTCGGTTAAAAAAGGTTTCATTTGTATATAATGTGGAACTACAAGTTTATTCGTCGCTGTAGACACCGCAATTGTACACTATTTATTATTCATAATACTACAAAAATTCCAGCAAAAATTTTTAATCCTAACTACAAATGATACGCGCACCGATCACACGGCAAAAAGTGTAAAAAGGATCAATCAATCAATTTATTTATTTGTCAGAATAAGGTACATTACGATCTTATTATAAATAAATCCAACTTATTCTATCGTAGTCGGCCATTGACTTACAAATAAATGGACGACGGGTCTAATACAAAAACCACGAAAAAAATGTCCCAAGTCAACCTATTTAAACGTAGTGACATGTAAAGGAATATGAAAAAGCTAAAACGTTGAATTTAAATTAAGAATTTTAAAGTACTGTCTAATTTTGCTTGCTTCGCTGTCAGTCGAACAAACGAAGACTAAAGCGTGAATGACGCTCTGTATACGATTTTAACGCCCTATAAGTTCGGACACTTTTTAGCGCGGACCCGACGTCCATATAATTGTAAGTCAATGTAGTCGGCATACCAATATGTATGTTTTACTACATATTATATAGAATAGAACAGGCAGAGAATGAAATTCAATTGAATATTAATTCTATTTAATTGAATAATAATTATTAATTATAATTACATTTTTATTTATTATATTAACGTAGCAGAACCTACTTTGCGTTTAACCAACAGCTCGAAGTTTTCTGTTGTTTTAGCATCCATTCTTTATACATATCGACTCATCCGAAGAACAGAGTCCGATGTGATTGTACAGCGAAAATAGAATAAGTACGTTACGAGAATAATTTCCTTATTCAAACTAAGGCCTACGTTTAAGGTGTTTTGAGAATTTGTTTTCATTCATTCATTTCGGAAATATTAAATCGAGCGAAACGGTCGATCTGACATTCACAGCGAAAAAGAACGAACGAAATGTAGTATGTCCTGAGAACAAGTAGTCTTGCACATAGATCTTTGTTCTACGGATGAGTCGATATGTTTGAGTATATAATTATGATGATTTGCATGTTTTAACTGGCGGTGGAAGATCGTTCCAACATTTAGAAGCGGCAAAGCTGAAGCTGCTCTAAACGAATGTAATCTAGAAGTAGGGGACAATTTTAGACTCAGCCCTCCGTTCTATCATATAACCAATATTTATCTTCCAACAGTGGCGAGATGAAAGTAAACTCTCCGCCGTGCCACTCGCCTGGCGCCATCTTGCCAGACTTGCCCCAGCCGGCCGAAGACCCTGACAAGAATTGCGGCCTGGCCAAAGAGGCTTCTGCATCGGAGACTCAGGCTTGGTTATCTAGACATCGGTTTGCCCAGCACGCGAGTACTTTTGCCAACTTTTCTGGTGCTGATTTGCTCAGGTAAGGTTCTCAGTTACTCTCCTTCAGATTCTGACAAGAATTATCTGACCAAAAAGGCCGTTTAATGTAAACAATAGTACATTATGAATTAGGTAAATAAGAAATTACTAACGAGAGTCTATTAGAATGCTTCGAGGTTTGGAATTTTTTATCGCCAGTGCTCCATACAACGTTTTTCATTGTATTTGCGAGGAAATAAATGTAATGATAATTTATTTCTTGTATGAATAAGTCGACCCCTCCTACGTAAATATCGTATGTCGAAATTGCCAAGTTTACAGGGAATCGTTTTAAAATTTTGAATTCACAGAAATGAGCATGACACGTGACTAGAATTTCTCAGTTTTATTCACATAGAGTATTATAAAATTCTAGATATCGGTTAGATGAACAACCACAATTTATTTTATAATTACACTCATTTCAGTGAATTCATAACTTCAAAACGCTCCTCTGTAAACTTGGCAATTTCAACATACGATACTTTATGTAGGAGGGGTCGAAATGTCGCTTCACAACACAACTACAGATTTTGCTAATAGCTGGTTTTTTTTAAATATGTATATAACAAATGGCCAGTTATTCTTCCATATATAAGACAACTCACAATGTTTAGTTTTTTTCTATGCTTCAAACTTATATGCAATGATTCAGATTTTTCGAGCATTTCCATTTTATAGATATAGATTACACTCAAGTCAAATCGACAACTTAGTCTATTGAAATGTGATAGTTATTGCAAGTATTAAGCATTTTAAACTGAACAATTGGCTAAAATAGCTTTTATTAACACATAGTACTAGTAATTCCATAGTTGGAGGTAACGGAAGACATTGGCTAGCAGATATTTAACAATATTCACTGCAAACTTTGTTTTCTTACTACAGGCTGTCTCGTGACGACATCATCCAGATTTGTGGACTCGCCGACGGTATACGTCTGTTCAACGCTCTACACGCCAAGTAAGTCACTTATAAAACTACCTGCCTGTCTGTAGGTAACCTGCACGTCGAAATAGTTTAGATTTTAGGTTTACATTAACAATATAAGTAACAATTATTTATTTGCCAAACCGTAGAGCGCCCCTAGCGGTCACAACTCGAACTAATTTTTTTGTTAGCGCTTGTCAATACTGGACCCGAAACTAAATACACCACATACAGGGGTTTATTACCTATGGCTGGTTAAAATACCATGAAAGTTTCCGTATACAAATGTGTGTATGTATTTATAACTTTCATAAACTGCTTAATATCGGTCGTTCGTTCCGTGGCTTAATTAATGACGCACACACACTCAACATAGCCTCGTACTAGGGAAACCCTGTGTGGCGGCTGCCATAGACACACACATAGACATCCACAAATTACACCTAAACTCACGAGAGAAATAAATGTAGGCCATACAAATATTTCTCCCGGCCCGGGAATCGAACCTGGGACCTCTGCGAGGCAGTCCGGCATGGTAACCATTCGGCCATGGAGGCAGTTAAAGTTGATTGGCATAGCGTCGGGCATGGTTTGCTAGAAGACGTCGGTTCGAATCCGGCCGGATCGAACGAATTTTTTCTAAGTGTTCGTTCTTTGTATTAATAATTATAAGAAATTAGTGGAGTAATTTCACAAAATATAATTTAATATCATGGTTGAGAAACATCTTGAGATTCAATAAAACACTTTAACTACTTTCACTATTTACCACACTTATATTTTAACTATTCTTTTTATCAGAAAAACATAAAAAATATTTTCAATTTATCTGCTGATAATTCTAAATCAACAGATAAATTGAAAATATTGCTTTGCTACTTGTTCTTTCTGGCTGCGCTGTTATATATCATTTCCAGTTCCCTTTACAATGATTTGTTACATTTATTATTTAATAACATTTATCTTAAGTATTTTTCTCATCGCACACAAAACGCGACTCAAACGCATGTAATATATGATATTCTGGCAACACTATCCTCCCTCTTACCTGCTCCCTGCTACCTCAAAAGCTGTCGTCCGAGTTGAAAAAACTTAGTGCGCAGTTTACGCGAGTGTTAGCAAAATTAATTATAAAAGCTTATTAAACAATTATTAAAATCCGCTTAAACTTATCTACGCAATAAAGAAAGTGTAAACATGTATAAGAAAACCTTGGACATTAGTTATAGTCAATAGCTGGATGTGCAGGTGCCTTCACGAGGTAAGTCCTGGCCCCTCCACTTTCTTTCGAAGGCAGAATTGAGCGAACATATCAAAAATATAGCGACTAAAATTTTGTTCCGGGATGCCAGGGCTTCAGAGGGACGTAACATCTACTTCTGCGTATTCCAAGTTTTGCGTCGGACCCCTTAATATGTCAAGTTGTTGATCCCGTGTATGAGTTAAGTAGGATCCCGCTGATATTCTCCATTGCTGCGCAGGCGCATCGAGCCCCGCCTGACGGTGTACGTGTGCCCCGCGGGCAGCAACATTTACTCCGCGCTCTACCTGCACGCCTGTCGCGCGCCGGAGCTGCTGCGCAAGCTCAACCAGCTGCTGCCTCAACAGGCGCACAAGGTCGGTACTGAAAAAAGAAAAAATTGAAAAAAAGAATTTGCAAATCAGTTTGGATTTTGCAAATTTAGCGATTTGTTTTTATAATTTTAATAATATTAAGTGATGGGACGAACATGTCGTGCGCCTGATGGTAAGCTACACGTCTATCCATAACAGTTGTAGTGCCACTCAGAGTTTTAAATCGCAAAGATCTGCGGGACACTGCCACTGCGTCCATCACCCGAGACATGAGTTGACAAGTCATGTGCCTGTAATTTCACCAGCACCCTCACTTACCCTTCAAAACTGGAACCCAGTAATGCTGACATTACTGCTTGACGGCAGAAATAAGTAGGGTTGCAGGTTTTACAGTATATTATATTAAATAATACATTTTACGAAGACTTGGCTTGCGAATAATTTACACAATTTCTTATTTCACTTTTGATGTACCATGCATTTAAAGATAAATTTATACAATACCATAAACAAATAATAACAATTGGAACTGATAAAAGTAAAAAATATAACATATAATAGTTAAATTTTATATTTTATGTAATCAAGCAAAAAATCATCAATATTGTAGTAGAATTGAGTAACTAACAAATTACACAATTTCATTTTAAATTGTCTACAATTTAATTCTTTAACAGCATCCGTTTTATTAAATAATTTGGGTGCTAATACGAACATCGTTCTGTAAAATTCCAAATCTGGGCCATGTTTGAGCCGCATTCCTACTTTATTCCTTGTATTTGTAGGATTATCTAGTTTTGATTATATTAAAGTTGCCTAGATTTTGTTTCACATAAACACAGGCCTCGTAAATATAAATCGATGGTGCGGCTAAAATCTTCAGTATCCTAAAGTAAGGTACAAAACTCTCAACCATAAGTACATTTGTGAATATTATTTGGTAGCAATGTTTCTTGCTAATGGCGAAGGAAAAAATCGTGATAAAAACCTCTCGAGACCCGTACCCAGCGATGGAACGTATAGTTGATTGACGCTGACGCAGTCACCATTTACCTAAAAGTGTTCGAATGTAAACAAGGAACGTGCCCAACAGGAGTGCGAGGCGGTGCTGGTGTCGGGCCCCAACGGCGCGCGCGTGCGCCTCACAGACGAGCTGGTGCGTCACCTGCCCGACAACGCCACCTTCCGCCTCGACAGGCTTGATGACACCAATGCCTTGCTTCTATCCGCCACCAACAACTAGGTCGCAGCCAAACTTGGCGCCGACCGCGTTGACCTCAAGAACGGTACTCGAGTTTCTTCTGAGAAGTAATCGTATCGGAGCTGGATAGTGTTTAAATCCGATGCCAATATAAGTTTAAATGATGCCAATATTGTGTTAAGTTGACACAGAATCGCATTGCCCCAATGTCTTAGCGTGGAGTCTAAAGCATCTGCGGTGCCAATATCTTCGTGTGGAGTCAATGTTGTATGTGACCAAATATCGTGTGGTGTCAAGTGGTATTTGTGACGCCAATATAGTTTGATGTCCGGATTATCTATAATGCCAATATAGTGTTTAGTTGACACAGTACCGCGTTGCCCCAATGTCTTTGCGTGGAGTCTACGTTGAGTCTAGACTATCAGTGTTGCCAATATCTTCGTGTGAAGTCAAGGTTGTCTGTGACCCAATATCTTTTGATGTCCAGATTATCTATGATGCCAATATTGTGAGCTATCAAGGTTATTTGTGATGCCAATTTCGTTTGACGTCCAAATTATCTGTGATGCCAATATCGTGCAGTGTCAAGGCCATCTGTAGTGCCAATACTTTCGCGTACAGTCAACTATGTGTATACGGTATTGCCGGCCGGAATTTAATAATTAATTTAATTTCTATTATTAAAATTTTGTAAAATCGAGTAGCTTTGACAAGTTACCAACCTTGGCCCAGTAATGTTTATACAAATGCAAACTATGTGTAATATTTCACCGAATTTTGTGGATTTCTATCGATTATGTTGTTATAGTGTTATTATTGGTCGATATGATTTGGAAAAATGATTGTCTCCTATTTATAATAAATTCGAACGTCTATTGACAATCTATAATAAAAATAGTAGGTACAGTCGCCTGCATGAAACCTATTCACATAGCAAGAAAATATTCATATAATGTTTTGTTCAATTTGACAAATGTTCAACCTGTGAATAACAACTATTCAATGAAAGATTCTGTAGTTATGGTTGTTTTTTCGCTAGATGTTTACATGTTAATGCAGGCGACTGTACTATCTATAAATTGTCGTTATAGATGTTGTAGTTTTTGGTCTAATTTCGAGTTTAATTGTAAACAGTATTTTAGACATTTTTGTATTATAAAGGCGGAAGATATCATGACCTTGTGTATTCAGCTGTAGCCGTATGAGAAACCACCGCTGGTCATGGGTCGCTAAAGAATGGCCGTAATATTACACTTTCAAAATACATTTCTGGGAAACTGACAAAATAGGTTTACACGTTTAACATAACTATTTTTTAATATCTCTCGGCAATTGTCGTGTTTCGGCAAGAAATTGCGTGCTCGGTGTTTGAAGTAAGTGATCTGATTCTAGTTCAGCCTGTGAACTGAACTGGTTCTTTTAGTTCGTCTTGTCCTTGCTCGGACATTGAACGAACATTCTAGCCACAGATTACTTTAATAATTACTACATAACAGATAGAAAATTGAAAATACCTACGCTATAATAGCCTACTAAATCGGACTAACGACACCAGGCGCTCACTACGAGGAAAAAGGAACCTAAGCACGTGCTCGAAGACGTGAAAATACCGTTGCCCGCCGTGTGCAGTCGTGCCGAACCGAATGCGTTAGGGTTGTCAGAGAATTTAAAATTACAATTATTATAGTCGTCACCAAATAAGAGGCCAAATTTGACACTTGTCATCGTGACGCGAATAGGGATGTGGACTAATCATATCGGTAATCACATTATACGATTTTCATGAGAAATCGATTCAAAATTTTAAGAGTTTGTGATTGTTTAGATTATTTTTCGGTTCAATGTTGTTCAAAGGCCAAAGCAATTCTGTTAAAAGCAATTCATTTACAAAATTCCTTGCAATTCTGTAGCAATTCCTCTTATTTTCGTAAAATTGTCCCACATTCCGATGAACTGTATCCAATTCTTTTAATTTTGATTTTATAATATTCATGAATCGTTTATTACGAGAATTTAGTGTAAATAAGTATGTTCGTCGATAAAACAACTACATAAAAACATTAAATTACCAAAAAATCAAGGATTTCATACATTTTCAATTATTCGGCTGGCAATAAGTGCGACATATTTGTCAAAATATTCACCGTTCACAATCTATCGTTAAAACTGTCGAAAACAACTACATAGCTATTTAAAATTTTATGAAAACTGGCAACCCTGCATATCGTTGCGTTACTTTCTCAAATTCGTATACCACTCCACAGTTATTGGTAGCCATAGCTACCAGTAACTGTCAAATACTTGTCACTAGTAGCTATAGTTACCAGTAAATTACAGTATCCGATTTAGTACACGTATGAACACCAAATTTTTACTAGTATTTCACTGTTCACAAATACTCGATACCCTAGTATAAACAAAAAAATATGCACGATGCGTCCCTATAACAGAAAAAAATGTGAAAAAAAAAACTAGTGTTTGATGAAGACTTTAATTGTGATAGATGACATTATTAATTAATTTCTATAATTATTACCTATCAAAATGATCGCCAGGATGTGCTTTTTCAGATGGCGTTAAAACTTTAACATTTGTTATCTTATTGGAAAAAAGGTCGTCAAAGTGGAGGTCATTGCACCGAGTGATTGTTTTTTGGAAAAATAAACTTATTCGTTATTAAAATACTTTTTGGATTAAAATATCACTCAAATACATAAGTTTATTCAATATAGGTTCTATTAAAACCTTTTTTAGGTCGTTACATTGTGAGTTGTGATAGGATTCGTCAATTTTCTTCCTCGCGACTGTTATTAATTTATTTTAAAAGTAGTTACACATTATTTTCATATGATTCTAGTGTTAATCGATAGGTATTTAAATGCTTGTCATCTTTATATATGTTTTGTTTCTTAATAAAGTGAATATACAAAGTGATTAGAAGTTAAAGCATAAAATACTATGAAAATTTCTCAGAAGTGTTCAGTGTACTCAGAAACTAACAAATAAAGTCGTCGTATTACAATCATAACGGTAGTCTAAACAAAAGCTACTTAAGTGCTCTTATCGCCCATGTTATTCTTTTTACCAGTAGCCTAATAGGTTCTTGAGTTTCAAGTGTTAATTTTATACGTGTCTTATCGCCGTCCGTAATGTAAACAATAAAAAATGGTACCAATTGATTAGAAAAGTGACAGGTATCAAATGTCACGCGCGCCGACGATCAAGTAGAGCATAGTTACTGAAATGCAAAAAAATGTATATACAAAGTCAAAAAGTAGTTTGTACAACAAACCCTCATTTCACCCGAGACGAGTATACTTAAGTCGAGGGTAAAATGGATTTTATGAACGAGTTATACACTCTGCTGTTCACTGCGATTGCGAGGAAATTAAACAGCAATATTACAAATAAACGATTATTTAATTAAAATTGAATGTAACATTACAACAATTAGATATATTTAATGTGATGGCCTGCTATTTTATGCACTGGAGCATAAAATCCTATTGTACGCTGCCTACACCCAGCATAAATACGAACTTTAAGAGCATGAGAAGTGAAATAATAATTTATTCCATAGGTAAAATTTTTACACTTCAAAACGTCATTTTTTAAGCTACTGCTCGGTCACTACGCTGACCTGAGATTTTGGGGGTGGTCATATGCAACAACTACTTTTAAAGTAAACACTGCAGGGATCTCAGATAAAGTCAAAACTCCGATATAATTTACTTGTCACACCTTTATTGTTATACTTTTATGTAGTTTTATTATAGTATGACCATAGTTTCTATATCTATGAGTACGACATACGGCATTTTGTTTTGGGGTAATGCCGCATGCCGCCGATATTAATAGAATCTTTGTCCTGCAGAAATGGGCGGTTCTTCCCTGAGAAGAACGAGCAAGAAACTCTAGGGATTGCTCTTTTCAAATAAACTCAAATGCATTTTGAATCGTATTTGTGTGGAATCTAGACTCACGTAGTCTTTCCATACATCTTTATCTAACACGTAGTCTACAATTTTGTAAATTACTTTTCAATTTTGTTATATGAATTTGCAGCCTGATTTCACATCAAATTTCCTTCATATTCACACACTGGCCTTTATATGTTCTTAAAGTAATGCATCCAAATCAACCCTCTTGATAATATTTAAGATACGAGTTTGAGAAAGTGAGGCGTCGATGTCATTTTATTTCGCCTTCAAAAAAAGACTGACTACAGCTTCTAATACTCTAATTCGAATTAAATGCTTCGGTTTTCTAGTACTGTTAAGTCATTTAACTAAATATTTATACAATCCTGGTTATATAACATAACTATGGTAGTAAACGAACGAACGAATGAAGCTAGCTTAGCTCACGTAGTTGCTTGCTAAGCTAAGCTAAGAAAATACGTAGTAAGTGACGTGCTACACTATGAATACTTGCGGGGGTGAAGGGCAACATATTTTACATAGCTTTGTCGTCGAGTTGCGGATACCAGCCCGTTGCACCAAGTACCAAGTAGCTTAGCGGGATCGTTGGGTTAGTTTAGTACATCGAGTATGTAACCTGAAATAGAGACGAAATGAGCGCAATACATTAATAAAATATGCTGTATTTATTGTAATAAAGATAATATCTCTAACAATGGCGTGCTGTTTCATTCGGTGGTGTGGGAAAAAACAGCAAAACATCTAATTATGAAACAAACGGAATCAAATTTTTCATCGGCATTTAAATATGTAATTTTGCAATTTTCGTATATTATAGTAAAGCTCAAGTTAATTGGTCGATTTGAAGTAAAACAATTGACGACACCCGTCAACTGTTTCGAACTCGGGCTAGCCAATCGGAGCGCAGTTGTCACAGTAATGATTTGGCAGAATAATTTTCAAACAACTTAAATGACATTTCCTCTCTATTTCTGGTTATATACTCGATGGTTTAATAGCTCGGTTACCTTAGTTCCCGTTGTGGCTTAGTTCCGCTTAATTTTGTTTCAATTTTTTCGCTAGTGTCCCAGAAATGTAACTTGAATTAAGTCACTATTATTACAATATTGACTTTTAAAAAACGAAATTAAAAAAACTCGTAACGTGTCTCATTCTTTTGTAATGTATTTTCTAGAGACTCTCAGACATTATTGTTACCGTTATAATTTTTAAGTTTTGTGATATAACACAAGAATGGATTTGACATTATTTAGGAGAAGCAAACGCCCTATATAAATATAATTCCACACCTTAACAGACGAAACGTAATCCCGATCGCATGCATAACGTGACCATAAGTCCCGCTTTTAAGCTTTGTGTCCCGCTGTCCCCAAAACACTGAACAATGTCCCGCGTTAAAATAGAACACACGTGACATGAATTTCTAAAAAACTACCCCAAAACGAAAAATATATACAGCCAGCCTACCAGACTACACAAGAATAGTTCTTTTTTTTAATTATGAAACATTTTATAACTATCATAATAAACATGTATTTCTTTTTTAAAATAATAATAGATTTACAAGCGTCTCGCTCGGAGGGGAAAAAATAATGGTCACGTAATGTATTCAGTCATTTGGCAGATCACTATCTACAGACTTGAGTTTTGATCGGGGCTAGACCTAAAAATGATTGACATGGACAATGTATGATTTGACTGTTTCGAACGGGCCATGTCTTTTCGTTTCGTAGGTCATCCGTAGTGGGGAAAACGGCACGACGACGTTAGGTGTCGACCCCGTAACCAGTAGTAAAACTTTAATTTTGATGAATTAAACGGAATTGATGTTTTTATAGTGCTAGGTAGCCACGCATTATTAACTTCATCATCTCATCAGATCGTTAATTTTTAGTTTAATTAATTTTAATTTTGTACCAGGCAGAGTATAAATAACAATAATTACAAATAGTAATTTCTTTGTTTTAGTATGTAAGTTTTTTTAAGGGTCAACGCATACTGATGAAAGTTTGCTTGAAATAACTCTTCTACAGTGCAATTCTAAAGACTAATCGACGTACCGTTCAAATTTGACGAAAATATAATATTAACAATAAA